GATTTTTCTTCATAATTTTCTAAATAATGCCTATTTCTTAACGAAAGGTTTTTTTTAACTGAAAACTTTGAATTTGCCCAAAATATTTTTTTTTAGCATTAAACAGTCAGATACTAAATAAAAACAATGTTAGCAACCTGATCCAATCTTCTCGTCATAAATTCGCGAACTTTTTAAAAAATTGCTGGAGTATAGTAAGATTTTTAGAACCTTTTTATGATTTTTTTTAGGAAAACGCTTGTGAATTCATATATTTCGCAAAAAAGCGAAGATTTTTTTCATGAACTTTTTAAAAAAGAAAACTTGTTTCGTTCCTAATTTTCGAAAACCCGCCGAAATCTGTTTTTCAATGTAAAGTCCAGTTTTAACGGCAAATGGATTCATAAGCCACCAAAATGTAATGATCTTAAATACTTTTGGAACTACATTAAAAAAGTAATAATAAATAGTCTACTCAAAATTTAAAAATCCATTGAGAAAAATTATGGTAAATAACCAAAAAGAAAAATTTTCAGTTTTTACAATTCAATTTTTACGACTTTCGGCTCGCAGTTACAATTCCTTTTGTTTTGTGCCTATTTCATCAAACGCCCTGTATGACGTTTTTTTTAACGAAATAAACGTTAACTCGTTATAACTGATAACATTCCGACCGTTGTGTAATTAAGTCAAATAAATACGATTTTCTTTGTTCCTCCTCGTGTAATTTGGGAGTTCCGTAATGACATCGTTAAATTTTTAATTATCCAAAACTGTAACCTCTGTTGATCGTCCGAGCGTATTTCCGATGGCCTCGAACAACACGCAGATTTGACGGTCCCGAAATGATTTACCGCGTTTCATATTTTGTATTTTAATCGCGATATATTTCATGATTGATGTCGCCTCGTTTTCGTATGCGAATCTCGACGCTTCCGGAAATCTTTCCCCGTGCAGGGAGGCCTCTCGGACTACCCAAAAGGTGACACATAACCAATGTTCGCCATGTCGAAAGAATATCGGAACGTTTTGTACGTCCGACATGAATGTATTCAGCGCCGCGCGCGGCGCTGTGATCGGAATCGACAAGCAATATCCGCGTTGTCGTTTAAAAGTTGGCAACGCAATGTCAAATATGTTAATATTTCACCAACAGATTCTACGTAACGACTTAGAATAGAGATTGTCTTTCTCTGGCTCATTTATATTTGATTAATTTGTTAATCGATGTATTGTTATTTGCATATTATTATTTGGTGATCGAACTATAGTTTCTTTAAATAACGGGTGATTCAATAAGAGTTTCCACATTACCATCTGAAATATTGTTGAAACGCCACTGTATTTGTTTATTATCATATGAGATTTCTAACCTCAAAATATAAATAAAATTAGTCATGGACGACCGAACAATCTGATTTGTTTTGGGAGCAGTTGGAAGGTATGGACATTGAAGATTTGTGGTTCCAACAGGATGGAGCCACTTGTCACACATCCAGAGAAACGATGCAATTGCTGCGGGGCAAGTTTCCTGGTCGGATTATCTCACGTAACGGCGATATCAATTGGCCGCCGCGATCATGTGATCTTACTCCCCTAGATAGAAGAGTGTATAGAAATAAACCAAACACTATTGCAGAGCTGAAACAGGAGATTAGACGCGAAATAGTCGGCATAGAACCTGAATTGTGTAAAAAATTGATAGGAAATTTCAATAATCTTTCATACCTAATTGTAATACACTAATCTAAAATGGCAAATAAAAATGTTGGTATATTTTTATATTCTTCCGAGTTTTTTTGTTATTATTTTAAGGTGGAAACCCTTATTGAATCACACTTTAGTTGTATCAAAATAAAATTTATAATAATTTAACTTTTTAAAAAAACTTTCTCTCTAAAAAAATTGATATTTACCAAATTACCTACAAAGAATATTTTTTAATTTTATGGCAACTAAATCAATATGTAAAGGATGCCAGAATACATTTTTTTTTCTAAATACCCACAAATTTAAATTATGAAATGGCGAAATAAAATTAACAGTTTTCGTTATTGCATTTATATATTTTACTTATGTAATAACAAGATGATTTATTCATAAAGCAGAATCAGATCATGTATATGCAAAATGTGTAAAGGCTTTAGTTAAAAAAAGAATATATGCAACAATGGAGTCTACCTTCGAAATATACTCTATTGTAACAATATTAATTATACATTAACAACGATTGAAGATTTAAGGAAACACACCGTTTTTAGTTAATATCTCAATAATAGTTAGGTTTAGGTTGCTTTCTATATCGCTAAATATAAAATATATAAATCAAAATTAAAAATGATATACAAAATGTTCCATTTAAGAAATATTCGGATTTACTTTTTGATCCTACCCCTTATATTCATTCTGTGCGCGGCACCGAATTTTACGCGAAAAGTTATACAAGGGATAGTTATCCAATAAAAAGATAAGATCAAATAAGAAGATTCAAGGGGTCGGAAAATTCCATGCGGTTTAAATACATGCGAGAGAAGACGCAAAAAATAACTTTTCAAAAAACCGGTGTTTAAGGAGTAGGGTCAGTAACGATTTTGTAAAAAAAAACTAATATTACTTTTTATACCACTCTAGCTTGTAGGGAGTGTCAATAAAAAATTATATATTTTGACATTACAATTGTTTCGACAACACCGTGTCTTTATCAACGACATTGACAAAACAAACATTTGATAAAGACACCGTGTTGTCGAAACAATTGCCATGTCAAAATATATAATTTCGTGAAAATCTGAACTTTTAGTTCTTATTTATTTTGATAAATGGATTTTCATCAAGTAGAAGCCTCCTCGGTTCAATTAATAAAAAATTATAATAATGCTAAACTTTCAATAGTTCTCTCTCAAGATATAATTGAGTCGCTTTTTTTTATTTATTGAAATTAAAGAAATAAATTTTTCCCCCATTTTCATTGAAACCGCTTTAGATTATTTATTGTTTATTGAAGTTTAGTAGGTCCCCACAATGTCATGGAAACACTTTTATAAAAAGTGGTAGGCCACTCCGTTTTTCAAAAACAAATTACATTGTTAAATTCTTAGCAAAGATGATCTCTTAACTGTGTATCGTCCGACAAAGGGTTTCCAGCGAAAAAAATGAAAAGCAATGAAATTCTCATTTACTCAATTTTACTATTAATTATACTCAACAAACTGTCGATAATGCAAAAGTTTTAAAAATAAATGTAATGATCCAATTATTAGCCTTAGCACCGCATCTAACAGGTTTAATGGATACTTTATAGATCCTCTCACTGAAATAGTTAGAGCAAGTGACAACTGTCAGTCAGCTGACACCCACAAGTATTTGATAGATGTAAATATTTATGACACTCCGGATATAATTTGGATTTGCTAGCACCGACTGTAGCTTCTTTTATTACTAAGTCCTTTAGGGAGGGGGTTTTTAAGTAGCTCTGAAAGAGGCAAGTGTAACGTAAATATATATGAAACGAAAGATCACGAAAGGATGGGCAATTTTATAAAGCACTTTCCTCTCATTTTTTCCCCAAAAGTCACGAAAAAGTTTATTGAATTTCTAAGTAACTTCAGTTACTTATTTGAGGCTAAGTTCGGTTTCCGAAAAGGTGGGTGCACACAGGATGCTCTCATAAACATTCATTTGAGATGATTAACCATGAAATCTTAAAGCCGGAACTTGTTAAATGTAGAGTGAGAGCTCTGCCTTATGTTGGCCATTTTTATATTTGGAGGGACGGTACCAGAGAGTGACTCGAAGAGGCGGGGGAAAGGCGTGGGCCGCTCCTTTTTTAAAAATTAATTGATGACTTAAACAATAGTCCAATGAATATGCTGGGCCAGCAGATGATATCGTTTTTGTTGTGACAAATTCTGATATTCATCAGATCACTGGTTCCGCGTCTGATTGTGTAAGGAAAATCTAGTCCCTTCAGTGATGAGAATGGCTTAGCTTTGGATATGACTAAAACAAGGCGAGTTCTTTTTTCTTATAGACAGGAGCATTTTTATAACCTCGAGTAGTGGTTGTCTTCAGCAGAGTCAAATACTTGGGCCAAAACTTTTATTTTAATCTATCTTCGGAGAGTCATATCAAATCGGTTACTAACAAAATGAATAAGTACCGTTTCATGTTGAGGAATTTGAGAAATTCTGTAAATAGAGAGGTCGCGCTATCCTTTTCTTATGCACAGCGCCTTCTCTAGTAGACACCTCTTGAAGGAGCTAAAGATGCTTACTGCGATTTCATTATATGTTTTGCGTAGTGCAATTTATGTAAGAAAATATTTACAGAAGCTTTTAACATCTGCTAAAGTTCACGGTCATGTTACTAGATTACCACCTTACGAGTTCTACAGCATGAGTTGAAAGAGTCTATTAAACTTATTACCAACCAAAGCAAATTTAAAAAGTCACTAAAAAAAATATTTGGGTGTAAAACAGCTTCGGATTGTTGTTGATATTTTGTCTTAAATGAAGAAATAAATAACGTATCTATATCTGTTGAAGGTGACCACGACCTGCACCTCCTGTACACACGCTTCTTCTCATAAAGTCTCGCACCCTTGGAAACATGAAGCGATTTCTTGATATAAACTTTGGGCTTAAAATGTTTCACACCCTTAAGAATCAGTGTCTTGTTCTGAAACACCGTGTGTACGTTTAGTCAAGAGCTAAATTACTCCATAGAATCCGCGAACAATGTTTGGATTAAAAACAACAACGCCCCCTTTTTCATCGGGATTAATTTCCTCCTGTTTTTGTTGATTTTTTTTCAAAAACCGCGCGGGGGGACAGACGCGACGCCTCGTCCCCCCGCGGGTTGTAAATTTCGGCCCCGTAACACTCGACGGGTCCCTAGACGACGACGTAAAAGGGGGCGTGCCGGTCACGAGTCGAAAAACAAAGCGTCGATTTCGGCGACGGAGGAGGATGCGGGCGAATTTTCTTTTCTCGGCTTGGGGGAGGAACGGCTCCGGTACTTACTCGGAAGGCAGAAGAATCCGAGGTGCAGCACCAGCTTCCGAACGATCGACATTTTGGACCGCAAGAGGCGAGGAACCCCGCGGGTGTCCGATCGACGGACGGTACCACCCGACGGCGACAACGACGTGTACAGCGCGTTTAACGAAGTCGCGTGTTTAACGCGATCCGGCGATTTAGTGGGTGTGTCCGCCTCAGACTCCGGGTCACTCGGCGCGGATCTTTCGCGTGTTCGGCTCCGGATTCCGGGCAATACTGACTGCGGCCCCACGACGATAAGGCCTTTTCGCGCGTCCTCCTCCTCTTCCTCTTCTGCACACGGCGCGATGCGCGCGTATCCCGCCATATCCGAGTGGGATGATAACGTACACTATCGTTTAAGTGTTTTCGGGCGATCGGGGGGGTCGTCGTCGTCGTCCCCCCTTTCGGAAAATTGATACGTTTCGCGGGGGGCGAGGGGGGTCGTGCGGTCCCCCGCGCGAGACCTGTAATTGTCGGTGATCCGGCCACTGGGGGGGGCAAGTTTAGGCGCGCTGGTTTAGGAGCTGCGTAGTAGAATTTGTCAAAAAAAAAACAATTTCATGCTTACCAAATTGTGACAAAAATGACCTATCCCCAGATACGGCACAAGCAATTAGTTAAAAAGGAATGCTTTGGGAGGAGACCATATAGAATTATTTTCAAGAAAAGATATACCCAGTTCTACAACTTCCTTCCATAAGAAATATAAAAACAAAAAAAGGAACATTTGAATATTTCATAGAGCATAACAATGGAAGCTTACCCCAAGGGAACAACCGGAGGAAACAGGGGCTCAAAGCCCCAATCGACGGCGGGGTTTTGAGTGTGATTTTTGTAATCCCTACTATCACTTACATAAATGCTATCCGCAATGCTAACATTCTACGAGTGACGTTATTCCTTGTTCATTGGAAATTTGCAAAGTTTATAAATATTGAAATTAAAAAAAATTTGAAATGATTATATATATATATATATATATATATATATATATATATATATATATATATATATATATATATATATATATATATATATATATATATATATATATATATATATATATATATATATATATATATATATATATATATATATATATATATATATATATATATATATATATATATATATATATATATATATATATATATATATATATATGATGGCACTATATTCCGGGATATCATCCGTTCGCTCGTTGAACTCCGACTGGAATCCTGCATCCGACTGGAATCCTGCAGACGTTTCGCCAAAATCTCACTTGGCATCTTCAATGCTCGCGCTCCAAAAACACTTCGAACACTTTTTGGAGCGCGAGCATTGAAGATGCCAAGTGAGATTTTGGCGAAACGTCTGCAGGATTCCAGTCGGATGCAGGATTTGCAGGATTCCAGTCGGATGCAGGATTCCAGTCGGAGTTCAACGAGCGAACGGATGATATCCCGGAATATAGTGTCATCACATTTTTCCATCCGTGAATCAATACGTGAGAATATATATATATATATATATATATATATATATATATATATATATATATATATATATATATATATATATATATATATATATATATATATATATATGTTCCTATCTCTCTTAGGTTTTATGAAGCTGCCATATTCTCTTAAGTTTTTACATAAACTTGAAAAGGTTTTTGCATCGGGGACTCTTCTATGCGGATAACGCCGTGCGTAAACTCTTTTTGCTTCTCTACAATTGCATCTGCATTCTCCAAACACCAGTAACATGTCTACTTTTTCCTCATTGCTAAATTGCACCATTTTCACATAATAATTCTTAGTTTTTTTTAAACCGAACAAATTTGGATATTTCTTGTGACAAAATGTGACAATTTTTTGATACAGCCATAACAACTTACGTTTGTAATTGCACTTAAAACAACTGCGATAACAATGGTTGCCATTGTAACTAACATTCATGGCATACTTGTAAAAATAAGCGTTAATCACATTTTTTATTAATCAAGAAATGTTTACTTTAAATCGGTATAACTTAGAAACGGGTAAACTAAATAAGTTTGAGTAAATAACAAAAAAGTTTTTAAATAATATGTACTTTTGTATGCGCGTATTTCCAAAGTCTCTGCAATCGAATAATTTTTCGACGCGTCGCGACGCCCAGCTCTTTGCAGGCGTCGAATTTTTTAAACTTTAGGAAATATCTACTTTTTACATAAATTAAATATTTCTTTTCACACTTTGACTACTTTTTACATAAATTAAATATTTCTTTTCGTTTTGGACTTATTGGCGTGCGGAGTTTTATACTATAGTTACTATATATATATATATATATATATATATATATATATATATATATATATATATATATATATATATATATTCGGGGACCGGAAAGTAATGTCTTTTTTGATAATGACCTATTAAAGTAGATCCTCGTCAGACAATTGAAGAGCGGTGCGTTTGTGTTTGGTGGAGTATTCGCGGGATTGTACACTTTAAAGTTCTGGAACCTGCACAAACAGTCGACGCTGACCTTTATTGTCAACCGTTGGATCGTGTCAACCAATCTCTGACCAAACAATGTCCAGTTTTGGTTAACAGAAAAGCGCAAAGAAGACCGTTGAAAAAATTAACGAGCTAGTACCGCATCCACCGTACTCACCTGACATTGTGCCATCTGATTGTCATTTGTTTAAGTCACTGCAAAGCTTCCTAGCTGAAAAGAAATTTAACAATATGGATCATATCAAAAATGCCCCGTCGACTCTATTACTATCGAATACCAGCTAAATTCTGAAAGTGGTCTATGAGAAAAACCGCCTGGGAACTTCTGGTCCAACCGGCAATGTGTCCGTCAACGGAGTGGCTGTCGGCCTTTTTTCTACTTCGCGTGTTATTTGAACATTATTTGCGTATAAACAAATACGTAATAAATCGTGAGCGCAAATCAATATTTAATACGTTCTTAGATTTTAGAAACCTATGTCTCAAGAAACAAGACTGAAAAAGTGTTGAAGCTTCAAATCTCTTTTTTCGTTTTTTCTTTATAGCTTTCTAGTTTTTGACATTTAAAACTCACTTTTACATTTGACCATCTTTTACTATGAGGATTGATTGTTAAAAATTACATGTACATGGTGGATTCTAAAATATTAAATAGTTTTTTTTTATTCGTCTCCGCACTCTTATGAAGAATAAATGCTTACATATGTGTTCTTCTATAGAATGCACTGGTTCTGTGCTATTCAACAATTTTGAGACTCCCTACTGTAAAATAGTGTCACTTTAGGACATCACCTTCGTTGACCACATGAAACCTTTTTTACAAAAGGTCACATCAAGAAAGGCTCTTTTGGATAGCTCAAAAATTATTTAACGAGAACCCATCAAAGGGGAGGTGAGAGGGAAAGTGGGTGTTGATCGCCAAAGAAAACAACAGTCACTAATCCAAAGTACATTTGCGGAGTAACCTGCCTAACAAATTTTGTGGTTAAATGTGACGGTACACAATCAACAAAAAAATATCGTTAATGATTCTGACAGGCCGAGTCGCTCTGTGATTCACGTCTGGTGATAATTCTGTTAACTCCTGTTATTCCCCGCAATCCGAATAGAAGTCTAACTGAAACTATTCGAAACTACCCAAGGAGGCAATAATGGTCGCAACCATGGATGCTATGCAACTGCAGGCGAGTAGCTCCCCATCCCCTACCCACCCATAATGGAGAAAATATAATCCAAACAATCTTTCCTGAGGGTAAAGTAATCGACAACAAAAAGGCTCTACTGAAACGTCTTCGCAGGACGTGATGGAGGAAGGTGGTCAATACAATTAAATATGGGAGAAACAACTTCACTTGTCGCTATAAAAAAAAAATACATATGTTTTTTTTCTACTCAAGTACAGTACACAGAGCGGGAAAATGGTAAATAGAGATTTAGTCAAATGCCGTTTACCGCACTTGTTGCATAATACAGTGTGTCCAAGATAAGGATGCACAGCATGGGGATCTCGGAAACTATAAGAGATACAGTGTCGGTTAAATTAGACAAAAGTTGCGCATTTTGATACCGAACAAGATCAGGTTTTACAAATTTGAAAATTCCAAGCCGTTCCGGAAATATCCGAGAAAAACCGAAATATTGCGATTTCGTTTTTATTATTTTTTAAAGCTATTTGAAAAGATATGAAAAAACGGAAAACACTTTTCCATTGGCACTTTTTAATCTCTCCAAATTGACGTTAACAAATTTTCATTACAGCTTTTCGATTCCATGTAACCACCATCAACTTTGATTTTTCTTATGGGACGGAAAAAAAGTACACACAGTATTAGGTTGTGCTTTTCATTACGAATTCAACGGTGTACGATACAATATGGTTACTTATGTTTTTATCCAGAAAAATGGATTTTTAATACATTTCAGCATTTAAATGGAGTAGGCCATGACAAAATGACATCCAGTCAATTTCAATGACACATTAATGTTATTTGTCTTTGTTATCAGTCGATCATAAGTTTATTCCTTTAGTTATTGTTTTTGTATTTTTATTGTTGTTGTCTTTTTCTAATTTATTTTGTTCTACAATGGAGGGAGGTAATTTTACAAACGAAGAAAAATGTGATATGCTGTCTTGCTACATCTGATGCCAAAGAAATTGTGTGGAAGCCGAGCGTATGTATTCTAACAAATACCCAGAGCGGAGACAACCTGACAAGAGTATTTTTCGGCGTTTGTTATTTAATCTGAAAGAATATGGATCATTTAAGAAGCCTGCATTATCCCGATAAAAACCTTCCAATGAAGAAAACCAATACATTGTTCTACAATCTGTTATCGAAAATCCACAAACTTCTACCAGAGAAATTGAAGACCAGAATGGGGTAGCTAAATCTACAGCTCAGTTTATTTTAAGGAAAAATGAATTTAAGCCTTACAAATTCAGAATATGTCAAGGATTAAAACCGGGTGACGACGAACGACGTAGACATTTTTGTGAGTGGTACACCAGGATGTGTGATGAGAGTTTTAATTTTCCATATAAAGTGATTTGGTCTGATGAAAGTATGGTGACCAATAACGGTATTTATAACAGGCTCAATACACACTATTGGTCGCAACAAAATCCACGTGTTAATAGACTATCCAGACATCAAGTTCGCTTTGGGTTTAATATTTGGTGTGGGATTTTTGGTAGCAAGATTATAGGCCCTATTTTCTATAATAATTCCTTAACTTCCGAGCGGCACCTTGACATCTTGAGGCACGATTTAGATGATGCCTTAGATGATTTACCGCTAGGCGCTGTGCAAGGCTGCTGGTTCCAACAAGATGGTGCCCCAGCCCATAACTCCAGAGAAGTTCGCCAATATTTAACTGAACGGTTTGATGGAAAATACATTGGGACTTACAGTGAAACACCTTGGCCTCCAAGGTCCCCGGACTTAACTCCCTTGGACTTTTTCTTATGGGGCTACATAAAAAATGAGGTATTCAAAGAATGTTTTGACAACGAGGAACAATTACGTCAATCAGTACGAGCAGCGTTTAATAAAATTACTCCTGAAATGTTAAGTCGTGTTTTGGAGTCTACCGTGAGACGGGCGTACTTATGCCTAGAAAATGGAGGTCATTTATTCGAACATTTGTTATAGAATTTGTTTTTCATTAACTTGTTGGATTTAGTTGTTATGTTAAATAAACAGTTAGAGTTAGTAAATAAATAAACACATTAACTCGAACTTGTCAACCATTTTCTTTTGCCTTTCATCGTTCGGATCTCATGGCCTACTACAATAAAATACTAGAAATGTATTAAAAAGCCATTTTTCTGGATAAAAACATAAGTAACCGTATTGTATCGTACATCGTTGAATTCGCAATGAAAAGCACAACCTAATACTGTGTGTACTTTTTTTCCGTCCCATAAGAAAAATCAAAGTTGATGGTGGTTCCATGGAATCGAAACGCTGTAATGAAAATTTGTTAACGTCAATTTGGAGAGATTAAAAAGTGCCAATGGAAAAGTGTTTTCCGTTTTTTCATATCTTTTCAAATAGCTTTAAAAAATAATAAAAACGAAATCGCAATATTTCGGTTTTTCTCGGATATTTCCGGAACGGCTTGGAATTTTCAAATTTGTAAAACGGGATCTTGTTCGGTATCAAAATGCGCAACTTTTGTCTAATTTAACCGACACTGTATCTCTTATAGTTTCCGAGATCCCCATGCTGTGCATCCTTATCTTGGACACACTGTATACTACTTTCGGCGACTCGGTACTTTGGCCACGGGTTTGTCAGTTTCGCCTCTATCTGTCAATGTAACCATGTTGTTTTGCAAAAATATACACAAATACTGAAAAACTAGAAAAAGTATAGTATGCAACACGTTTATAAGATATGCAGATATGAACCAAATTTGTAAAGGTAATTTCTAAGACGTAACATGCTTTAATGTTGATCTAAATACCTGTCGCAAATACAAAAAAAAATCGCGTGTTTTAAAACACTATTTCAATTGTACAGAGCGTTTCGTGGCCGCGCGCCGCCAAACTCTTTGAGCCACTCCGGATTCCGGTTAATCCCCTTTCCCGGATTGTTTCGCGGTACCGCAATTAGAGCTAATTTAACCCCCTATCGCGTGTAACTCGCAGATACGTTCGGTTTGATGAGAGCCGCGCCAGATTGAATGAAAAGTTTCCTCCAAGGAGGAAACAAACCGTGAGGCGGAGGCGGCGGCGGCGTTCTTTGTCGGAGCGTTTCAAAGTATATAAACGCGAACCTCCGATCGGCCGAAACTTTGAAACCGCGCTAATTGACGACGGCGGAGAAATCCGGAGCTGTAGACGCTTGTTGTCGGCCCTCGTTTGGACGTTTATAACAAAGAGAGCGGAACCGACGGGGCCTACGTTGTCGGTCAGTTTATTAAGTGAGTAAATAAAATGTTCGTCGATTTCGGGGGGATCGCGCCGCCCACAGTGGCGCGACGGATAGGGAGGTGCGACTAAAGGGCGGAAAACTGCATTTTATTAATTTATAGGTATATTAAATGAAAAACATCAGTTTTAAACAATTTTGATATAATTAATATTTTAGTTTCATAAATACAAAGTTTCTTCCAACTCTGCTATTCGATTGAATGGGGAATAAATTCTACAACAATCTTAACACGGTAGGATAATAAAAATGACGTACTGACGATTTCACTGGTACATATGTTGATTATAGTCCTTGCAAATAAGTACCGTACCGTAGGTTAGATACCTAGATATATCTAGATACTGTTTCTTATACAATTACAACATGTTAACACACAAGACATATAAGGACAACCACAAATTAAAAATGATGAATTCTTGAACAGTTTTCATTATTTTTTGCTTACTCAGCTTCTTCACTAATGTGGCCGATTGGTAAGGAAGCGGATTGAATGCACCTTGAATCAAAACCCTTTATGTCAAGATGAAGGTATTGCTGACTTCACAATGAAGTTTCCTCAATCGTATACGTGTTTTGTTGACCAATTTCGTTTGCTTCGATCCGGGTTGTTTTCGAAACTTTTAGGAATAGCGGAAATGCATTTATTTTCAATAAAAGTAACTTTTTCGACTCCCTTTTGTAACATACCTGCCGAAAGCGTCACTTTACCACGTGTTTGGACCCCCTTCGGTGAGCTATCAGGACAGTGAAAGTGTTCGTGTTGTTTTGCAGAAATTTATTCAAAAACTAATGTTCGTAGGAAAAATATAGAATGCAACACGTTTGGTATAGTTTTTAAATCACTCGTTTATTAAGCACTTGCTCCGATGAGCACCGCTCGTGTCAAATAAACACTCGTGACTCAAATGCCGTTTAACGCACTTGTTGCATAATATACTACTACCAAGGCAAGATAAACTTTTTATTTACAAAACGCTGTTTTGGTCCTTGCAAATTGGTTTCCATTTCTGTGGAAATTAAGGGAGAAAACTTTTTCTCAAGTTATTTTTTTGGTTTTAAATACATAGCATATTATGCAACAAGTGCGATAAACGGCATTTGAATCAAGAGTTTATTTGGCACAAGCGGAGCGAGTATTTCATGAACGAGTGGCTTAAAAAGTTTACCAACGTGTTGCATACTATACTTTTTCTACGACTGTTAGTAAAATCCGAAAATATCCGATTGCTACCAAACGCGTGCAGTAAAATCCCGGAAATATCCGAAGGGATTCGGATTCGTGGGAAACGAAACTCAGGTGGTAAAGTGACGCTTCCCGCACGCTGGGTAATTAGCTATTTTACAGACGGGAGTAGAAAAATTATGTTTTGTAACTATGCAAACAACAAAACAATCGAAATCGAAAGCAATATGGCCGCTGACAGTTCGTTAATTCGCCGCTTTAGATGTATTATCATTACGGCGCTTTTTTCTCAAAATATGCCTAGATCTCGTTAAAAGTTCTGGGATAATAGGTGAGATTTCACGCGCATGCGTGGAAGATTATTCCCATCTGTACTACTACGAACTAGGGCCACAAGTCTATACGGTCAATCGAATCCCAAAAAGTATTTTAAAGATTTTCTAAAAATGTATTAAATATAAACCTCTAAACCTTTTTAAGACCATTTTTCCAGACACAAATGATAAGCTAACACTGTTTCGGTCATTCGCCATATGGGCAACTTCTTAACTATGGACCTTCCGGCGTGCGCCCCTGCTGCTCACGCGCCTACGTCGATATCGTGTCCCCGGAGTGCCGCGAACCGGAAAATCCTCAAAGTTTTTCCGGCAATTTCCCGGCGAAAGTAAATACGGCGCGGGACGGCCGTGAAAATGCGTCGTGTGTGGCGCGGTGCTGGCGGCAGCGGGATAAAACTTTCGCGTACCGAATTTTTTTCGCGTTTCAAAAATCCGAAAAAATAATTAAAGAGCGGGCCACATCTCCGTCTGCCACGGCCCATCTCTCGCGAGATAAACCTATTCGGGGTGAGGGTTTGCGTGTCTAAATGGGCCGCCATTTCGAATACGGTTTTTTGTTACCCGCCGCTCAGGTACACGTTTATTACTCTAATGGACGCGGGCTCCCCCGCACGTTCGTTATCATTTGAGGGGGCTGCCGCGGCGCCCTTTTGTTCCCCCGCGGGCCTTAATTAATCAAAAGGCAAAGAAAAAATAATTCGCAGTCTCCGCATCCTTCGCGTGTATCGACGGGTCGAAATGGTGGCGGGTGTGGGGTCGGGTCGGCCTGATAAATCCCGAATCATCGATTTTAAACCCAAATTTACCTCGGGGGGTCTTAATACAATCGCTACTTAATTATACCGATAAATTATCGATATAAATCAGCTCCTGCCACCCCGCTCGGACTTAAAAGAGGTGTTTATCTAAACTGCGGGGGACGTTTGTCACCCGTCGTCCCCGTCATTTGGAAGGGGGGTGGGGGGATTGGGGGGATTAGCGACCCGGATCAGTTCAAAAGTTGGACGTTGTGCCGCTTTTTTTTTATAATTTTTGGAAATTTTATGTTTTTTTTCATTCTTTATTTATCCTCTGGTGTAAACAGTGCATTATCAGGCAAAAAGAAATATACTACTAGTAAATAATACCACCAGTAACGTAATATACTATCAGTAACATGGCATAATATTGTTATTAACGATACCGTATTTCAATTACCCAACCTTTACACTATCTTTATTACAAGAATTGCACAAGAACTTCCACAATAACCCAAAAATAGTAAACATATTTATAATTACTCTAAGCAACACTTAACAGACGTTGTTATTATTATATTTATGCAAACATTTTAAAAATTAATTAAACATGCATTTACTAGTTCTAACATTGGCTTTATAACGTCCCTCGAAAAGACAAGGTTTGAATTAGATTTTTGTGATTGTTGTCATATGAAAAGCGAACTTTTACTATTTCGTTTTGCAGATTGTGAATAATTCAGAATTAGTCGCACTACAATTTCCCCATACAGCAATCATGGGCTAAGACAAATAATTCATTGTAAACATTCATTCTAGCGCGAACGGGTAGATAATTTCCACATCTGAACAATGCACTGTTGGAAGGACTATGTAGTCAATATATTCAACACAATTCAGATACTGATGATGATACTATTGGTTCAACTTACGCTTTTTGTTTGAAATAGTATATTATGCAACAAGTGCGGTAAGCGTCATTTGACTCACGAGTTTATTCGACACGAGCGGAGCGAGTGTTTAATAAACGAGTGAGTTAAAAGATTACCGAACGTGTTGCATACTATACTTTTTCTACGACAGTTAGTTTTTGCGTACATTTTCGCAAAACACGAATACATTCACTGACATAACTGTCAGAATTGACAAACGTCAAAATTCAAAGCGTGGGAAATATCTCCGAAAACATCCGATTGCTGCCAAATCCGTGCTTTATATTTCGCTTATGAATGAATTAATTTTAACATATTTTTGTCAGTTGGTTAGGCATGACTTTATAAGCTTATTTGTAATCCCCTAAACGTCAATAATTAATATAAATAATATAAATTTCAAAGAAAAATTTGTATTCATTTTTTATTATTTTCTATGGAAGAGGTGAATTCTTTTGTATTATTTTTTTTGGATTTTCACTGGAGTCTGTTTAGTAAAAACCTCAGTTAGTTAGTCGATTACAAACCAACTCATTTAGTCACTACAGGGTGACGCTTTTTAGTAAAAAAAATCCGCAATTTTATGAAGTTACTGGATCTGATTGTATTATGTACCTTGTTCGATTGTTTCTATACTTACTACTATTTACTATACTTTTTCTACCCCATTAGTTTTTAGGTACATTGTTGCAACTCAGTAGAACTTACTATGGACGTAAATTGGTCCTTCGCACCTGACAATGTTGTTTGCTCCTCCATCTTATATTAAGTAACTGTAATTTATTTGCGATATATGCGCTTAAATACCGGGAAAACCGAAGATGTCGTGTCGATGGCGGTCATGGGTAAAATGATTAAATATGAAGATATAACAAATCAATGGTAGCAAGAACTATTATTTTCTACTACCCATGGATCGATCAACCAACACAAGGATAATTGACAAAATAGCCAAACGAAAAAGCTTTACAATTTTTTTGGTTTGACAATGAAAAGGGACCACATTGGACAAAAATATTTTTTTAACATTAAACAATTCTCCCAAATCAAAAGCAGGAACTGTCATAAGAAAATATCATTCCGTGGGTCTACTTCAGTCTGTAAAACACCTAATTACACCCCGACGTAGCGTGAGGGTAGCGTCACTTTACCAAGTCAGTTTCGTTTTCCACGAATCCGAACCACTTCGGACATTTCCGGGATTTTTCCGCGCGGGTTTGGGAGCGATCGGATGAATTTTGATTTTTTGTCAATTCCGACGGTCATGTCAGTAAATGTATTGGTGTTGTTTCGCGAAAATGTACCCAAAAACTAACGGTCGTGGAAAAAGTATAGTATGCAACACGTTCGGTAAACTTTTATTTCAGTCACTCGTGAGTTAAATGCCGTTTACCGCACTTGGTGCATAATATACTATAAGAGAACCGTTCGGCGAATAAAATGTTACTACATTACTAAATATTTCCGGGATTTTGAGCCGTGGTCCCGAGATTAAACTCGACGTTTCGTCTACAACTGCGGTAGACATTTTCAAGAGCGACGATGTGGTAACGGTAGAAGTGTTCTTCCGTACTGCTCTCCGATGACTGGTTGGTCGACTGGAAGATCTGCCGTATTTAAGCGCGCTGTAGTGGGCGTGACCTCGGTGGCGGGCTTGGGTTGAGCTTGTCTGGGTAAACACGTTGTTTTGTTGATGACCTGAGTCCATGTTTTACTGATATTGAGACCTTCTTCTTTTCTATTGAAATTATTCTGATGTTTTTGAATTTCAATAGCTTCTCTGAAAAGACGTGGATAAAAATGTGGTGTTTTGTCCAGTACCTGCGTGTCTTTGAACATGATACGATGGTCACCTTTGTAAAAAGCATGTTCTGCCACTGCTGATTTTTCCGTGTGTCCAAGCCGGCAGTTCCTTTTATGTTCCTTTAGCCTAGTTTCAATGCTTCTCTTTGTGGAACCTATATATACCGAGCCACAGGAACACGGAATGCGGTATATCCCTGGTGAAGAAAAGGCGTCCCTTGTATCCTTGACAGACCTGAGGCTTTGTCTGATTGTAGTCGTTGGTTTGAAGACGACCCGAACGTTGTGTCGTTCTAAATGTTTACCGATCCTGTCTGTGACGTTCTTAATAAAAGGAAATGATACATTCCCTTGAGGTTCCTTTGTCGTATCTCTTGTCTTAGATCTTCTATTTTTCATAGCTTTTTGTATTTCGGAGGTGGTATATCCGTTATTTTTCAGGGAATCGGTCAAGTGATTAATCTCTTCACGTAGGTACTTGGGTTCGCTAATCCGATTAGCCCTTGTCATTAAGGTTTTTATTACCCCCATTTTCTGTCTCGGATGGTGATTAGATAATTTGTACAGGTAACGTTCCGTGTGAGTGGGTTTTCGATAAACTTTATGACCCAATTTTCCATTTGGTCGCCTTTCTACCTGCACATCTAAGAATGCCAACCTGCCGTCCTTTTCTGTCTCCATGGTAAATTTTATTTTATTGTTAATGGAATTGAGATGCGCCAAGAAGATTTGAAGCTCCTTTTCGCCGTGGCTCCATATTACAAATGTGTCGTCCACGTAGCGGAACCAACACTTGGGCTTCTTTTGGGCAGTATTTAATGCCTGCTGTTCAAACTTTTCCATGAAAAAATTTGCTATGACCGGGCTTAATGGGCTTCCCATGGCTACACCGTCAACTTGTTCATAAAACTCCTTGTTCCATTGGAAATAAGTGGTGGTTAAGCAGTGTCGGAAAAGTTCTGTGACATCATTCCGAAAACGTGCAGATATTAAATCCAAAGTCTCTTTGACTGGCACCATAGTGAACAAAGAAACAACATCGAAGCTCACTAATATGTCTTTGGGTGACAATGTGATGTTTTTGATCTTCTGTATAAACTGAGTCGAGTCCTTGATGTGTGATGCTGTCCTCCCTATGAGTGGTTCAAGGAGTTTGGTTAGATGCTTAGCGAGATGGTAAGTCGGGGAACCTATAGCGCTAACTATGGGTCTCAAGGGTGCTGCCTCTTTATGGATTTTTGGCAATCCATATAATCTTGGTGGTAATGCCTCCGAATTGCTTAGTTTTCGCTGGATTTCTGGTTCGATAGATGACTTCTTGATTAACGTATTTGTTTTCTTTAGGATGCGGTTGGTTGGGTCCTGTTGCAACTTTTTGTATGTTTTGGGGTCTAGCAGATCACCAATTTTCTTTTCGTAGTCTACGGTATTTAGTACTACAGTCGCGTTCCCCTTGTCAGCTGGAAGGACTATAACGCTTATGTCTTTATTGAGGTCTCTAATTGCTCTCTATCTACAATCAGACAAAGCCTCAGGTCTGCCAAGGATACAAGGGACGCCTTTTCTTCACCAGGGATATACCGCATTCCGTGTTCCTTTGGCTCGGTATATATAGGTACCACAAAGATGACGCGTCCGCGAACTCCAAGAAAGAACGAAACATAGCGAGACGTATTCGGAGACTGTGTGCCGTAAAGTGCGCGGCACATTGCTAAAAATTTAATATCATCACTCATCTATTGTTGGGGAATAAAGTGCCCGTGCAGCGTGCATCACAAGCAAAAATGGCAGATATATTGTATTCATTATTCTCCCAAACTAAATCAATACGTCTTGTGTATCCACCGTTCGGGGGGAGCCGAGACGATTTATGTCCCGATATCGCGGCACGTTATTGTCAAAATATCTCCTGTGTACGTGCGGCAGGGAAGCGAAAGTCGAACAAAGCCCGATTTTTTCGACAATTATTTTCGTTTCATTTGTCAACAAACCTCAAAACGTCCCAACCTTGCTTTAAGGTAGTTTTACATATAAAACAAATTAAATTAGAACAAAAAATGTTTTTAATGCTTTGTGACAGCTGTTCGGCCTTTAATTTAACAACGGAAACTTCTTTTTAGTTATAATCTTATCTATTCACATATTTTTTTTCTCATAAACAACTATCCACGCACCTTTGAAGTTTGACCTCGACCTAAGTCGGAAGGACTTTTTTGTAGTTGTAGTTTTTTTCAGTTTAGCTGGTAATAATAGTTTTTTCCCTATAAAGTTGTTATAAAGGGTGATTCAATAAGGGTTCCAACATTAAAATAATAAAAAAAACTCGGAAGAATATAAAAATATACAAACATTTTTGTTTGCCATTTTAGATTAGTGTATTACAATTAGGTATGAAAGGTGATGTCATTTTCCTTTCAGTTTTTGACACAATTCAGGTTCTATACCGGCTATTTAGCGTCTAATCTCCTGTTTCAGCTCTGGAATAGTGTTTGGTTTATTTCTATACACTCTGCTATCTAGGAGGGTAAGATCACATGATCGCGGCGGCCAATTGATATCGCCGTTACGTGCGATAATCCGACCAGCAAACTTGCCCCGCAGCAATTGCATCGTTTCTCTGGATGTGTGACAAGTGGCTCCATCCTGTTGGAACCACAAATCTTCAACTGCTCCCAGAAAAAATCAGATATCATGTTTCGATAGCGAACACGATTAGCCGTATTAACCAAAATGCGCACCAAACAGTCACTTTTTGAGGATGCATCCCCAAATACGAGCATTGTGTTTGTTTACAAAGCCACCAACGTGAAAATGTGCCTCATCGCTAAAGATGAATTTCGTTGAAAAGTGAACCCCTTGTTCTCGTATCCATTTTGCAAACACGCGGCGCCGTTGATGATCTCGAGGTTTCAACTCCTGAGTTATTTGGACTTTATATGGGTGTAGATGCAAGTCTTTTGTTAAAATTCACTATGTGGTTGAATACGTAAGGCCCACTTGTTGCGACCGATCACGAATCGATGTGTTTGGATCTTCGGCTACACTTTCGCGAACAATGGCAATATTTTGATCTGACCGACCCGCACGAGCCCGTTGAGGGACTTTGAGGTTAGTTACAGATCCAGTTTGCTCAAATTTTTGAACCACATTCCAAAATTTTCATGTTGCATTTTTTCTTGATCGACCATTTTCATAATAGGCTTGCACAATTTTTACACGTTGTTCAGTCGTCCATGACTAATTTTGTTTATGTTTTGAGGTTAGAAATTTCATATGATAATAAACAAATACAGTGGCGTTTCGAAAATATTTCTGATTGTAATGTGCGGTTCTACATTTCCGGCGTGAAAGAGGAGGTGTAAATTTTCGGTAGGTTGGGGCAGTTCTAAGAAGAACGGGCGGGGATTCTTTGAATTCCGGTAACTTTCGAACGGTTCAAGATCGGGAATTCAAATTTTATCCTTTTAATACCACAAAGCAGGACACACCCGAGATTTAGGACTGTGGTTTTTATTGATATTGCCTATTTCAGAAAAGGATAATAAAATAGAAAATTCCGTCCGGTCCAGTGCCAGACAAGAGATTTTCTTCAAATGAAAAAATTACTCCTGGCATTCACCACGCAAGACTGCAACTTTATTTTGGAGAAAACAAAAAATTATCCACTTGTTAATCACTAAAAATATTGTATTGGAGGATGATAAAGGAAGACTGGAGGAAATTTACAGAAACATCGCCGTAGAGCAGAAAACAGAAAAATGTGGTATAACTGTGTTGCACCCACTACCATATCATTGTGACCTAAATCCTATAGAACTTTTATAGGCGCAAGTGAAAGGACTTGAAGCAAAACACATGACGACTTTCAAAATAAAGGACCTTAAGCTACTGTATCAAGCCATTAAGGAAGTAAGATCCCAGAACTGGTGATAACAAAAGAAAAGAAAATAGAGGAAAAAATGTTGGATCTGGACCACTTTGTTATAATTTAAGATATGTATAATAATGCATAACTACTCTGCACAGGGTGCGCCAACGATAGAGTAAAGTGCATTGGTTTTAATAGTTATGAAGTTTTAAAGATTGTTAGGATGTTCTCAACATTTTTTTATTAATAATAATACATATCTAAGCCTAATAGTTTTTCCAATACTTTACTTTTTTTTGTGAGACCAGAAGCGTTAGTTATATGTCCCAAACTGCAGACGAGGCCCAAAGCTAAGCGAAAATAACGCATCGCTTAATTATTCAAGCCTTTATATCGGCCAGTTCGAATAAAATTTTATTTCGCTTTCTGTGTAAATAAATGTTTTTAAAAACGCTCTCCCGAATTTTGAACATTTAAGTGGCGCAGTCGGTAGGATGGAAATTGTGGTTTTTGGAATAATCATGGTTCTAATTTTAGTTTTCATCATTAAGAAACTCTTATTCGAAAAGGTACGAGGAGTGAAGAAAATCGCATCCAAAGGGTAAGACTGCCAGGAAGAAAATCTTGAAGGTTTTTCGAAAAAACACTCCGTTATTTTCGAAAGTTAAGGTGGGAGGAGTTATATGTCCCAAACTACAGACGAGGCCCAAAGCTAAGCGAAGATGACGCATCGCTGACACCGCATCAAAAGCCCTATTTATTCGATTGTAATATTGTAAAATACGCTCTTAATTATTCCAGCCTTTGTACCGGCCAGTTCGAGTAAAATTTATTTCGCTTTCTGTGTAAATTAATGTTTTTAAAAACGCTCTCCCGAATTTTGAACATTTAAGTGGCGCAGTCGGTAGGATGGCAATTGTGGTTTTTGGAATAGTCGTGGTCGTGGTACGAGAAGTGAAGAAAATCGCACCCAAAGAGTAAACCTGCCAGGGAGAAAACACACTCCTAAGCATCTTTATAACTTATGTATTTACCATTTTCTTGTAATTTTTAAAACCAATGAGACAATAAACTTTGCTCTTTTCTTGACTTACCCTGTCCATAATACCTAATTATTATTCTGTTCATTATTACAAGTATCCTACGTCCAAATAGTACCCAGCCTTTTTCTCCGCGAAATAATTGCTCACCAAGGTGATTGACTTCCTTTTTGACGAAAATCCTTTCCTCCGAGCGCAGTTTTCAGATGAGGAAACAAAACGAAGCAGTTCAAACCCCTAAGGTCTTAGTGAAACAGGATTTTTTTTGCATATGTGACCGTTTTGCGCAATTGCTGTCCTCAGCTTGTCAAGTAATGATGCGCAATATGCTCTTCATTTTCCTTGTTGAAGGTAATTGATTGGGATGACTCCATGGCTATCCCAAAAAAGGGTTACTTCTCTGCCGAACAAACAGTTTTTCCTTTTTTCGGAGTCGGTTCCCCAGTCGCTCTTTTGACTGTATTTTTGACTCGGGCGTATGTAGGTGTACCCAAGTTTTATCTACAGCAATTAATCGTCGCCAAAACTTGATTTATTGCGCCTAAACCGGGCTAACAGGGAGTTGGAAACGTTCATTCAAACACATTTTGGTTTAACGTGAGTAAACGCGGTATCCAAAGCGTGGACAGCTTTCTCATACCCAAATCTTGATTTGAAATGTGACGAAAACGTTTCATTTTCCTAACCTCTGCTATCTCATTTTAATTCGCTTAACACCGATTTTATTTTAAATTTAAATGTATTATTTATAACAGTCACATCGACTCACTCAAACGACTGTCAACGACAAACCACAGGTCCAAAATGGCTGAAACTTTCTTAAGTAACCAGCAAGCGATGCGTAACTACTATCACTAGTGCCGCCATCTTCAGGGTGAGGTCGGAAACTTGTCAAGTGACTCTCGTATTCGTATTCCTCTACGATAACTTCGTGAAACAGGCTTGTTTTAAAATTACGTACGCCGGGAGAGAATTGATTCGCGGCTCCTTCAATAACTTAAAATCCCGCCGCTCCCCCGGGACCCGAATTTTAAGCAGTCAATGGACCCTCCGCCGCCCTTCTCGACAAACTATTTACAACCGTTTTAAATATAAATAATACGGGGCCACACAAGACGACAGCGTCGCGCCGCATCGCATTGTAAATTTCCCGCGGGACGGCGGATGTGCCCCCCCGCCCCACGAAAATAAATTCGGAAATAAAACGATCAAATGTAATGTGGCGTAACACGTTGGCTTTATAGGGGCGTCGGGAGATTAAATTTTCGTAATTTATGGATAACAAAAGGACCTCCTCGGGACGCTACTGCTTTCGTTAATAATTCGGGAAAACGACACTCGGGCCGGCGAGTAAGCCGTACGTCGTGTATACGACGGGGGCCACTTTAAAGTTCTGCCTCTTTGTATACACGCGGGCTCGGCGGGATGGTGGGGACGTTATAACCGAAAAGACAATTCGCCAGTTATTTCGCGAATTACGCCGAAAGTAAGATTTGTTTCTCCTTTACGATGAGACTTATTTGAAAATTTGACAACGCTGTTTGCAGTTAATTGTGTTTTCTACTTCCTAACTCTAAAATACTCAATTTATAATGCGACTTTGAAATATTTGTAGTAAAAGATTTATAACTCGCTCGCTCGCAGCCGTGGGTAACGCTGCTGACGTGACCCATGCATGATTGATAATATAAATTTTTACATTGGTACAATCTAACACCTATCTATTGTAGAAGCTAAATCATATGGAGTCTATAAGTCTACCAATGCGCAACCTAAGAACAACTGGGAAATATTATGTCGGAATTAAAATTGCTTGGTTAGTTGAACCTTTGTGTATACGTCCCATGTCACTCAGTAAATGTACTGTACTATAGCACAATTTTACGTCTCTTAAATGACCAAAGGGACGTCGAGAGTCGGAGTGCTTAAACAAATTCAAATTTCTCGAGAACTTTGGATGGTCTGTACGGCCAAAGTTCTCCTTCGTATTCTGTAGTGAAAGAATGGGCAAAACGTTTTCCAATGGGGCAGGAGTCCCTTGACGATAATTCAAGAACTGGTCGACCAGTGGAGGTCTTAACGGAAGATATTGTTGCGATTGTGGAAGAGGTGGTGTTGAGTGATCGACGTTTAAAGGTCAAGGAAATCTCAGAAATTACTAAGCTTTCTGATACAAGTGTTCGTCGAATCCTGCATGATCATTTAGGTATGCACAAGGTTAGTGCAAGATGGGTTATTAAAAACGTTTCGGTTATTCAAAAACAACGCCGTGTCGAGTGTGGGCCGTCTTTTTTGGAAATCTGTGGAAACTATGGTTCTCTATTATGCGTCGTAAGGGTCACAGGTCACAGGGTGCCATTTTAGAGTGTGCGTTCCAACGGATAGATCGTCCTCCCTATAGTGCAGATATGGCCCCCAGCGAATATTATTTGTTTGGATATTTGAGAATGGACTTATGTGGACGGCGCACGGTGGAACGAGGTATAACACTGCAATGAAAAGTCCGATTTTAATAATTTTGACGAATTCGTATAATGAACACCATACAATATTATGAAATTTGACATTTGGTAAAAATCTAAAATGGCGGACATTTGTAAATACAGGCACCTATTGCAGTTTATGAGCATAAGCAAGAACACCTTTGCTATTGAGAATTGTTGGCAGTTTAAACAAAGAATACTCCATATAATTTAAATTTATTACGAAATTTGACATTTGGTAATAAATCCAAGATGGCGGACATTTATTATAAGAATTCTTTTTCACGTACTGACAATAAAAATTCTTGTAAGGTTTTAGAAGTAACATGTAATATGTATTTACCATTTAATCCGGAAAATAACATACTTATCGAACATTGAAAAATACAGGGTATTACATTTAAAAAACCAAGCCACCTTTTATAATAAATATGCTAGAAACAGTTTAAATAAACTTGTATGCATAATTTTACAATTATTACTGACACAAAGTACGAAATTTTTTTATATTAGAAGAGAGAGGGCCTCTTCTGTTAATTCAGAATGTATCTTCTCGGATTTGCGTAGGTTTGATATATATGGATCTGACGATACTAGAAGATTGTGCAATATATCTTCATTTGTGAGGTTTCTTTTGGATTTTCTGGAATGCCATTCTCTGAAAGTTTCTATGATTTCTGGACCATGTATAAGGATCTTATGTAACGATGACGGCATGTAATACCACCCGTAAAGATCAACGTACAATTGGACAGTATCTTTTGTAAAATATCCAAATTTCTTGGAATCTACTTTTTGTCCTGAAGCCATAACTTAAAGAATTGTGTACAATCTTTCCAGCAAACGTTCATTTAATCCTGTGATTTCGGAAGACTTTCGAAAATTTTTAAAAAATCTTCTGGCAGTGTTGCCGTCGTTGGTTGTACCCAGTCCTCGTTTGACAAAATCAACGAGCAAACTCATCTCCTCTTTAAATCTAAATGAAAAAGAAAAAAATATATATATATTATTATAAGTAGGTAATATTGTCGATACAAATATTTAGATGTATTATAGTTGGGGAAGTTACTATGGATAGGTAGGCAATGCTCTAGTTACTTGGTCACTACATACCGTCTCTGTTGTCTTTGGAAATTTTCTCCTCGGGCTTTTTAGTCGACCATTTCTTAAAGTCCAAGTTATAGGCAATGTGCAGCATGCATTCATAAATTCGTATCCATGAATGTAGGATGGATATTCCCAAACTTTACTGATCTTGATTGGCTTGCTTCTTTTTAATGACCTAAAAACCAAAATATGTCCTTCCAAATAACATTCCAATAAAACATAAAAAAATGATATATTTTACTGTTCAGTATTGCCAAATCAACCTGCGTTTAACTTATTCATTTCGGTTGGTTTAGCACCACAGATGTAGCAAATTGCGGTTGAGCTTGCCCCTGCCAGGCAAGAAGAAATTTTTCCGTCAATCATCGTTAAATACAATTTGTGGTTTACAACTACGCCCGGCCCGCGCCATTTGGAAGAACCGTAGACCATCTCATCAGTGAGACACATTTATTCTTACCTATTTATTGTTTAATTGTATCCCAAGAAGTCATTTTACTATCCTCTTTACAGGAAATAAATATATATTTTAGTTTCAATTTTTAAATCGCAACCAAAGTTGATTTAAAATCGGCCTTGTTTAAACAATTTTTTATTTTCTACCAAAAAGTTTGTCCGGCTTTCAACGTGGTAGTAGCAAAAAGTGTATTATTATTATATTAAACTTTTTAAAATAGCCAATGTCCACTCTTTAGCATTGAGTCGTTCCAGTGTGCGGCGGTTTAACGACGAAGTTGAGTTAAGAGAGGCTGTTTTAGCTCATTTTGCAGACATACCAAAAACATATTTCTTTAAAGGGATTGAGTTGTTAATAAACAGATGTAATAAGTGTACTGAAGTTAAAGGGGATTATATTGAAAAATAATAAAAAATTGTTACTCTACTTTGTTTTTTTCATATTCATGCCGGGACATTTTGGCGCTGCTCTCGTATTCTGTGAAGAAATGATTGAACGAGCTAACCAAATTAAAGATTTTTTACAGAGTATCTTCATTTCCGTTACTATATATATATATATATATATATATATATATATATATATATATATATATATATATATATATATATATATATATATAGTAACTATAGTATAAAACTCCGCACGCCAATAAGTCCAAAACGAAAAGAAATATTTAATTTATGTAAAAAGTAGTCAAAGTGTGAAAAGAAATATTTAATTTATGTAAAAAGTAGATATTTCCTAAAGTTTAAAAAATTCGACGCCTGCAAAGAGCTGGGCGTCGCGACGCGTCGAAAAATTATTCGATTGCAGAGACTTTGGAAATACGCGCATACAAAAGTACATATTATTTAAAAACTTTTTTGTTATTTACTCAAACTTATTTAGTTTACCCGTTTCTAAGTTATACCGATTTAAAGTAAACATTTCTTGTTTAATAAAAAATGTGATTAACGCTTATTTTTACAAGTATGCCATGAATGTTAGTTACAATGGCAACCATTGTTATCGCAGTTGTTTTAAGTGCAATTACAAACGTAAGTTGTTATTGCTGTATCAAAAAATTGTCACATTTTGTCACAAGAAATATCCAAATTTGTTCGGTTTAAAAAAAACTAAGAATTATTATGTGAAAATGGTGCAATTTAGCAATGAGGAAAAAGTAGACATGTTACTGGTGTTTGGAGAATGCAGATGCAATTGTAGAGAAGCAAAAAGAGTTTACGCACGGCGTTATCCGCATAGAAGAGTCCCCGATGCAAAAACCTTTTCAAGTTTATGTAAAAACTTAAGAGAATATGGCAGCTTCATAAAACCTAAGAGAGATAGGAACAGGACGGCTACAAATGATGAAAATACTGCTGCTGTAATTCATCAGGTTGATAATAACCCCAAGATATCCCTATCAGAGATAAACGAAAATACCGGTGTTACCATAAGTTCTTCGTGGAGAATTCTACATAGAAACTCTTTTCACCCGTACAAAAGTAAACTAGTTCATAAACTAGAACCAGGCGATTATGCTTGTATTTCTTAGCGACATTGTCCGATTTAAATAGCCAAGATGCAAATTTTCTCTCGAAAATTTTATGGAGCGACGAAAGTCGATTTCAAAATAATGGAATCGTTAATAGACACAACTGTCGTTTTTGGTAAGAAAACCATCCTCGTTGGATTACAGAAAGAGGTAACCAACGAATTTTTAGTATCAATGTTTGGTGCGGCATATTAAATGGATTCCTTATTGGACCTTACTTTTACGAAGGAACTTTAAATGCAGATCGCTATTTAAGATTTCTTCAAACTACACTTCCGGAACTATTAGAAGAAGTGCCTCTTGACACTAGAATGAATATGTGGCTACAGCAGGATGGAGCGCCTGCACATAATGCCCAAATAGTAACGAGGTATTTGAACCGAGAATATCCCAATAGATGGTTTGGTACTAATGGACCGGTAAGGTGGCCGGCGAGGTCCCCGGACATTACACCACCAGATTATTTTCTTTGGGCCTACCCAAAAAACGTTATCTATGAAGAACCTATCGAAGATATGGCTGATCTCATTAACAAAATTAGTGCAGCGTGTGCCGCTATCACAAGAAGGACTCTCCTACAATTGACCCAAGCTCATCTGTTAAAAGTTTTTGATAGTTGTGTTCGAGCAGATGGACATAATTTTGAACAAAATTTTTGAAATATCTTATTATGTAGTTAATTGCAATAATAATTTTGGTTATTAACTTGTAGGTATTTTACTGTATTTATCATGTTATCAGAACTAAATCGATAAAAAATAATAAATAAAATCATACTAAAATAGTTGAAATCTATTGTTAGTAATTGCACTTAAAACAACTGCGATAACAATGGTTGCCATAGTAACTAACATTCATGACATACTTGTAAAAATAAGCGTTAATCACATTTTTTATTAATCAAGAAATGTTTACTTTAAATCGGTATAACTTAGAAACGGGTAAAGTAAATAAGTTTGAGTAAATAACAAAAAAGTTTTTAAATAATATGTACTTTTGTATGCGCGTATTTCCAAAGTCTGTGCAATCGAATAATTTTTCGACGCGTCGCGACGCCCAGCTCTTTGCAGGCGTCGAATTTTTTAAACTTTAGGAAATATCTACTTGACCCCACACTTTGACTACTTTTTACATAAATTAAATATTTCTTTTCGTTTTGGAGTTATTGGCGTGCGGAGTTTTAAGTGAAAAACCATGTATATATATATATATATATATATATATATATATATATATATATATATATATATATATATATATATATATATATATATATATATATATATATATATATATATATATATATATATATATATATATATATATATATATATATATATATATATATATATATATATATATATATATATATATATATATATATATATATATATATATATATATATCAATAGCGAGTGAAGCGTCTATAAATATGCTAAATATTGAGTTGAAAAAGAATTAATATAGCATCCATTTTGGGACAAAATAGAAGCTGTAATGATTCACATTGATCCAGGCCCGACACAGAAAGCGGCGGGCTGCGAAAATCCAGCTGCAATCATCGCTAGCGTTTAGTTATAATATAGCTTTCTGTTTGTTACTCCTTAACTTCAAACTATCCAATTATGCCCCGCCCTCCTTTGTTTCACTGCCCTAAAATATAGGGTATTAGTTCTTAGTACACATTTTCCGTCAATAACAACAGTCTTTGTTCAATAGATAAACACTTTCTTTACGGCCCCAAAGTACTCAATATGTATAATATAAACCACCGTTTTTCTCTCTACTTTTTAAACTATACCTCAAAAATGTTTGTGGTACCGCGGTTCCGTCAACTTGGTCAACGTGAGCGTGCGCGCGCGCGTTGCGCGCCACCCCACCCCAGTTTCTAATATTTAATGGCCCGTTCGTGCTTTCCAAATTCAATCATAATTCGATAAACCGGGCGCATTGGATTCCCAGCAATATGGAGTCTCCAGGCTTTGCACCGCGTATAAACGAATTACGGCGTAATTGGTTCACATTTTCAGGTAGCTTTAATGTTTAATGAGCTCGAACCGCGGTTTTTGTCAATATTTGTCGTCGGCAAATTAAATTCGTTACAATGTTAAACGATTTCCCGGCGACTCGCCCGAATTTCCATACCGAAAATGGAACAACAGCCGCGTATGTACCGGGGGTACAGCAAACGTTTAATTATCCCAAGGACCGATTTTTTACCAAATTTAAAGTCGTATTCATAGTTGTTCCTCACACCTTGAGAATGACTAAAAAGCTATAGAACTGTCATGATAGATTTGCCGAAGTAGCCAGAAGTATCGTGAGAAGGTTATCCAACGTTTTGGATACATTTTTTGTAAAACAGTACGAATCCATTTACCCAGAGACGTGTGACGTTTACCATCATTACATTCTGCATTTCTTCTTCTTTTTCCTCTTCTTTTAGAAACATCTTCGTAGTGAAGGTATGCACAATGTATTTTAGATTCAGCTGATCGAACTAGCTGATCTGTGCCACTGAACTCGTCTTGTAGATTTCTCAACCACGCTTTTCTACCCCACCTCCGTCTTTGTATTTTTCATTATGAGTAGCAATAATATTTATCTCCGGTGTTGATGCTTCCATTTTTTTACTGAAGCAATGATCTCTTTACCTTTTCGAACTCTTCTCATGATTTCCACTTAGTTAATCGATCGATCCATCTTATTTTGAATATTCTACGGTATATCCTATGTCTGCAGCATTTTCAGACACCTGGTTTTAATTTGAGTATTTGGTGTCCTTGTTACTTTCGAAAAATCGATGGCAACGAAATTTATATCTCGGCAACGGTAGGTCCTAGGGGACCGCGATTGGTGCAGAAATTATCGGCGTCGAAAAAAAACTTTTTTTTCTGTTCTCCGTTATCCGTAATCCGTTTCTCTGTAGACCTGGCATTAATTGGCTATATCTTTTGAACGGTTTGCAACACGGCCTTCAAATTTGGCTCCTTTTAAGCCGTCCACGAGTTACACAAACCTGCAAAAAATGAGTCTGATCAAACCAACGCGTCCATATTTTTTTTAGGTTTTCGGGTGTTTTTTGGATATTACT